TGACAGTCATCAAAAGGTACTGGAGTATGCTCTGCACCCCATCAGTGGAGGAAATTTGCAGACCATCGAGGGAAGACATTTCAAGAAGGATGTCTGTCTCTGCTCTATGACCTGTCCGGATTCGCGTCGAGGTACCCACACTTGGTGCCGACGCCATGTAAAATATGTCAACGTTTCACAACAGACAAGTGTGCGACATATCAGATTCATCCAGGCCAATTTCGCCGACACAGAGCCCAGGACCTTCTACCCCACCGCTTGAAGTCATTCTTATCAGATGTTGAGTCACTTGGTGTACTCTACGACACCTGCGCTGGTCATGAAGCCGAAGTCAAACAAGAGGGCTCCGCAAGACTGGAGCTTCGGGCAGCAGTTTTTCCAGGTTCCCCAACATCTCACATGTTGAGAGACGTTACCCAAGAGCTGATCGAGTCTTCAATTGTTGGATTTGACCCTATTGATTGGTGGTAAGTTCAGCGTTCACCAGGTGTTCTCTTTATTAAAACAGCGTCAGGATGTTCCGCTACTGGAGACTCGCCGCACTACGATATGTTTTTTTGTCGCTGGAGAAAGCCAAACCCGAGCTGCGCGCCATGGGACCTGTGCTAGGTCTTGGTGCAATAAGTGTATGGATCAAGAACTCTCTCATATTCCGTCCAGGAGAGCAGCGCTGGGACAAAGCAATTGTGCCGCCGGCGGCCTACTGGGATGCCGAAGACGAAGAAAATCTGGCCGAAGACGATGAGGTGGAGAACTTGGTGGCCGAGGGTCGGATGGGACCGGCAATTGAGGAGCGTGGACTATATTTTGTGTCGGCAGTGGAGTACGACTACGGCATCTACAGCCTTCCCCCGGCACGCGGACTCGACGCCAGGACCTACGCAATGATCTACAATTGCAACAGCTTCACTGAGCTCGAGCTGCTATTCATGGCGAGTGCAGTAAAGAAGGCAAGAAAAGAGCCGACTGCTCTTCCTCGACGCACGAAACTACGACGACGTATACCACCACGAGCACGCTCTCCGGACCGAGACATTGACTTCGGGCTGGGAGAGGCAGGTGTCAGAGTTCGCCACCTTCCCGGCGTGGTAGGAGCTGTCGACGTGCTTGATGGAGGGCTCGACGGAGAGGTCAACGCCATCTGGCAGGACTTCCTCCGTGACATAGCTGCTGTCATTCCGTGCTCCGCAAAGAGGGGGTGCTATAGCACGCTGACTATCGACGAGCGACGAGACGCAACAGAGGAGTTGTACAAGTCCTCGTCTCTCCCGCTCACATGCGCATATGTCAAGATCGCAAGCGCCGACACGTGGGACCGCTTGTTCTTCAACCGGTTCTTTCCTAATACTGCCCAGCAAAAAGCACGTCCCGTAAAAACACAGCATTTCGGGTCCTGCCACTACTGGCTGCGGTGGCTGGTGTTAACCAAAAAGGTCGCTGCGGAAGGAGATCAAGATACTATACGCGAACCGTTGCTTACTGAGTTTCAGAAGCTCTGCTGGCTGCCTTGGTCGTCAAGCGATCGAATTTGGGACACCGACAAGCACGCAAAGGGACAGTGCGTCACGCTGCCCCGTAACCACATAGGCCCGGCACCCAAAGTAGCGATAAACGAACGTCTTATAATTCCGCTGGAGAGGGTGACTTTGAGGTAATGAGGCCGTTTACTATTCGGGCACTACGGCTTTTGCGGTCGCCAGTGGCGGGCACCAAGCAACGCCACATGAGAGGTTAGTTAGTCACTCTTGTAGTCTGGGCATGTAATATACCAGCCTTGGCCGGCGGGTTTACTGTACCCTTGCAGTAAGCTCCAGATCACGTACGTACCGGATGATATACCCTGGACGCAACTACCGCGGCCTCTTATGGATTCAACGAATATCACTGAGCATCACAAAACAAATCAGGAATGGCCGCCAGTGGCGAGTGGTGCAAGGGAGTCATTTTCAGCATGAGCCGATGAATCCGAGAGCATCACCCTGCGATCGCCACCGGCAAGTCGCACTGGCGGCGCCACAAGCAATCACAAACGGCAGAGGCTCAGGGGCGGTCGCCGCTGGCGACTGCCTCGTCGCATCAACCGTCTGGCCCGCCAGCGGGGGGTGCTGCTCGCCTGAGCACCCTATGCGGACTATCCCGTGCCCTACGT